GGAAACACGCCTCGAGGGCGATCTGCACCGCCGCGGTGAAGCCGTCCTGGCCGAAAAGGAGGATTTTGTTGGGCTGCTCCCCGATGTGGAGCATCGCCCACATTCGCATCTTCGCCGAGAGCGGGATCACCCCCCGCTGGGCCAGCCACGCCAGCTCGATAATCATCCCCTCCAGCCCCGAGGACGTCGCCGCCCGACTCAGCGCGCGGTACGGCGGGGAGTCCGCCGGGCTGTCCATCATCCCCGCCCCGTCCTTCTCGAGGACGGGCGATCGCCGCGAGAGGCCCGGGGAACCCCTCCCAGGGAGGTCCATCCGCAACAACTGCCGAATCAGCGTCGGGAGGAAAAGCTCCAGGCACTTGAAGAAGAAGCCCCGCTGAACCTCAAAGTTGGCCGCGATGACGGATTCCGCGGGGTTGGTGGGGGTAGGGCTATTGCCTGGGGAAGGGGGGTCCATAGTACTATGGGGGCCCTCCCGGGAATCCCCCCGCGTCGCCGCCTCGAAGGCGGGAGAGCCGGCCGAGGCGGGGGAGGCCACCCGCCCAGGACGTACCGTGCTCGGATCAAACATAAAGAGCCGCTGCATCACCACCTGCATCGCCCACTCCCGATGCAGGAAAACCTCATCGGCGAAACTCCCGACCACCTCGACAAAGGCCCAGAGATCCTTGCGGAAAATCTGAAGGAGCGGCATGGATTGCAAAACACTCATCGCCGGCGTGGAGTCCGTCGAAGTCGGATCGCCCGTGGGGGGATTCATCGCATGCTGCATCTTTTCCTGACCACTTGCGAGCTCGGCGGCGAGGAGGGTAGGGGGAAAGGCCCGCGTACACTCGCCGCAGATATACTGTAAAATGATAATATTCAACAGATCGGTTCCGTTTTTGACGCCAGAGAGGCCCATTCGGATTAAAGTGACCACGTTATGGAGAACTGTAGACAACTCAGATGTCGAAATGAGCCCCGATCCCTCCGGCGTCGGCTCCGAACAATAAGAAAGGGCGGAATACGTCGAGGAGGGTTTGAAATTTCGCTCGAAAAAAATTCTTGAGGCGCCGACGAAGATGGCTACAAGGCACAAAAGCCATCGCTCGCTTCGTAGGAAGCTTTTAAGAAAGCCCACGGAATGCCCTCCCGTCTCGCCTTCCTCCCCCAACACACAAAGGCGAGAATATCGACCCGCCCCAGTCGTCGTACAACATGGAGACTTGGTTGCTTGGATCTCCAGGTACGGGTAAGCCCCGGAGTCGGCGAAGTTTCTCACGAGCCTAAGTGCGGTCTCCATGCATTCCACAAACCTCAAGATCACCGCGAAACACGCGTGGAAGCTCAGACTTTGGTAACCCTTCCCATCAACGACCACCCACGCACGGTGAATCAGAGCCTCAAGGTCCGCCGCGATCCCCCCGCGGGGATCTCCCCGTGGCGAGAACCACGCAGCCTCCTCTTCCTCTTCCTCTTCCTCATCGTTGGCAGGGGCGGGGGGAGACGTCTGCAGTCCCGCAGATTTGAGCCGGGCCTCGGCCTCGGTGAGGTGGAGGGCGGCGAGGCCGAGAAGCCAACCCTGCACGAGCGCCGCCCCCCC